TAACAAATTTTAGAATTTGTTTAAACGAATTTAATTCGTTATTACAAATTTTAGAATTCGTCTAAACGAATTTAATCTGTTATAACAAATTTTTGTTACAACGTTATAACGAATTCAACAAAATTGTTATAACAAATTTAATTCGTTATAACGAATTCAAAAAATTGTTATAACGAATTAAATTCGTTCTAACAAATTCGACAATTCGTTTTATCGAATTCAACAATATTTTTTTATTGGTCCTAAAAATACGGAAGCCTACGGAAGCCCATTTAGGACTATCAAAAAATATTTTTGAATTCGATATAACGAATTGTCAAATTTGTTATAACGAATTTAATTCGTTATAACAGTTTCTTTGAATTCATTATAACGAATTTAATCTGTTATAACAAATTTGTTGAATTCGTTATAACGAATTGAAAAATTTGTTATAACGAATTAAATTCGTTATAACGAATTCTAAAACTTGTTATAACGAATTAAATTCGTTAAAATGATTTCTTTAATTTGTTATAACGAATTAAATTTGTTAGAACGAATTCGGCAAATCGTTATATCGAATTCATATATATTTTTCTACAGGCCCTGATTGTTGAATTTGATTAAACGAATTTAATTCGTTGTAACAAATTTTAGAATTCGTTCAAACGAATTTAATTTGTTATAACAAATTTTAGAATTCGTTTAAACGAATTTAATTTGTTATAACAAATTTTAGAATTTGTTTAAACGAATTTAATTCGTTATAGCCAATTTTTTAATTCGTTATAATGAATTCAACAAATTTGTTATAACAGATTAAATTCGTTATAACGAATTCAAATAAACTGTAATAACGAATTAAATTCGTTATAATAAATTCAACAATTCGTTATATCGAATTCAAAAATATTTTTAATAGGTCCTAAATGGGCTTCCGTAGAAGGCCATTTAGGACCAATCAAAAAATATTTTTGAATTCAGTTGAACGAATTGTCAAATTTATAATAATGAATTAAATTTCTTTGAATTCGTTATAACGAATTTTATCTGATATAACAGATTTGTTGAATTCGTTATTACGAATTCAAAAATTTGTTATAACAGATTAAATCCGTTTGAACGAATTCAGAAATTTGTTATAACAAATTAAATTCATTTAAACAGACTTTAAAATTTGTTATAACGAATTATAAATCCGTTTAATCAAATTTAACAATCAGGGCCTTTATATACATGAATTCGATATAACGAATTGTCGAATTCGTTTCAATGAATTTAATTCGTTATAACAAGTTTTAGAATTCGTTAAAACGAGTTTAATTCGCTATAATGAATTTAACAAATCTGTTATAACAGATAAAATTCGTTATAACGAATTCAAAGAAATTGTTATAACGAATTAAATTCATTATAACAAATTCGACAATTCGTTATTTCGAATTCAAAAATATTTTTTGATATGTCCTTAATCGGCTTCCGTATAAATAGGCTTCAAAATCTATTATATATAACACATTTCTTGAATTCGTTATAACAAATTCAAAAATTTGTTATGACTAATCAAATTCGTTTAAACGGATTCTAAAATTTGTTATAAAGAATAAAATTTGTTATAACAATTTTTCGTTATTAAGAATTAAATTCTTATTGCAAATTTGTTGAATTCGTTTTAACGAATTCACAAATACTTCTCTACAGGCCCTAATTTTCGACTTTGAGTAAACAACTTTAATTCGTTATAACAAATTTTAGAATTTGTTTAAACGAATTTTATTCGTTTTTACAATTTTAGAATTCGTTTAAACGAGTTTAATCCGTTACAACAGATTTTTGAATTTGTTATAACGAATTAGAATTTTAAAAAAAAATTACGAATTAAATTCGTTATAACAAATTCGACAATTCGTTACTAGTATATCGAATTCAATTTTTAGGTCACCAGAGTCATTCAGGTGACCTATTACTATCCGTTTTTGTCTGTCGTCGTGCGTCGTGCGTTAACATTTGAACATTTTCAGCTTCTTCTCTGAAACCGTTCAACCAATTTCAACCAATTTTGGCGTATAGCATCTATGGGTGAAGGGAAACAAAAATTATGAAGGGGAACAAAAGTTGTGAATTTCATGGTCCCTGCCTAAACTACATAAGAACAAAGTTATGATGAGAAAGAGTGCCTCTTCAGAAATTGTTAATTTCATGGCCCCTGGATCAGGGGTTCTGGTGTTTAAGGCGGGGCTCTATTGAATATATAGTGAAAATGCATCAATTCTTTGAAAAGCTTCATCTCTGCTCCAGGGTATTATTTAAACAAAGGAAGTGCATGGATATGATAAGCAAGAATGCCTCTTCCAAAATTGTGAAATTCATGGCCCAAGGGTCAAGGGTTCTGGTGAAAAGGGGGGGGGGGGGCTCTATTGATTATATAGTGAAAATTCATAATTTCTTTCAAAATATTTTTTCCTACTCCTGGTTATAAAGCAAAGAAACAAGTGTATAGTTATGATGAGCAAGGATGCTTTTACAAAATTTTCAAAACTTGTGGTCCCAGGGGCTCTGTTGTTTCTCTGAAGGGGGGGGGGGGGCTCTATTGATAATATAGTGAAAATGTGTGAATTCTTTGAAAATCATCAACTAATTGCATAGTTATGATGATGAGGGTACCTCTTCCAAATTTGTAAATTTCATGACCCTGGGTCATGAGTTCTGGTATTAGGGTAGGGCTGTGTTAAATAGTGAAAATGCATTATTTCTTTGAAAATCTTCTCTGCCCCTGGGCATATTGGAGGCGAACTGAGTAAAAGTTTTAATAAGCAAGGGTATTTTTACCAGAATTTTGAACATCAGGACCATTTTTTCAGGTGTTCTGGTCCTGGCCAGGGCTTTATTAATTTGTACTCTACTGAGTGAAGTTATTCCCCTTTGCCATTCACCTTTGATAATTAATCACTGTAGATAATGTATTTGAAAGGTTAATAGAATAAGAGAATTATGCAAGATTTTTGTTTATTGTTTAACGTCTCTCTCGAATTTTTTACTCATATGGAGACGCCACGAATTGCCGGTGAAGAGCTACAACTTTTGACCTATACTCGGCACTCAGGGCCATTGAGCAGTGCGGGATCTTTTTCGTGCCAGCACCTACTGCGACATGGGACCTCGGTTTATACGGTCTCATCCAAAGGACCGGTCTCCATGTCCCACAGTGGGATTCGAACCCGCGACTTAAGGATCGACTCCTTACTCCGCGACTCTAGAGCGAACGCTCTAACCACTGCGCCACGCGGGCGACTAATTATGCAAGAACGTTTATTGTGTAATACAAAAAGTACTTTCATAGTTTTAATGATCATGTAGACTTGGAAATAATAGATGAATAAAAATGAAACAAAAATAATTTATCTTTTTAAATGTTCTTCAAAGGCCATGTGAGGCCAATGTGAGAGATAATTATATGGGGTTTAAAAATAGATATTTCTTTGAAAGTCTGCATGGTAATAATGATAAATGGGGGACAGATAGATAGATACTAGACCAATAATTTTGTTGATTTTAATCGTACTCATTCTCACAATGTCAAGGTTTTGTGATTTCGGAAATCCACACAAACCCTCGACATAAGTCGCTATTTAAAAATTGGGCTAGAAAGCCACTATTTCATTTGTTCCTGGTCTAGGACTGGAACCAATCAGAAAAAAGCTTTTATTGTTGGTAAGTTTTGTAAACAAATATGACTCGTCTTTAAAATGGAAAGTGTCAATATTGTGAGATATGTGACTGGTTACATTAAACGAAACATCGGGGATAAATTTTTGGAAGATCGACCTCCAAAAAATCACAAAAGATATGCTCTGGAGTTGGGCCATTTGAAAACGACTGATTTGAAAAATATATTCTCATTGGTTAGTTTATAATTACCCATTACGTCATGTGTAACCACAAACCCAACTTTTAAATAGCGACTTATGTCAAGGGTTTGTGTGGAGTAAACCTTGACATTCTTCTTCTTCTTCCAGTTCAGTGCAAAACCACTAAAGTATTATCGCACTCTGCGTGAGGGGGTGCGTGTCTATGTACAGTGCTCAATAAAACTTTAAAATTAAAAGATAAAAACGCAGGTGTGATTCTAGTGGCTGGCACTGGACAGCTGGACATTGTGAGGATGAATCGTACTATTTTTTCTTGCTTTTGGGCAACAAAGCTTCGATCATTTATCAGTTTATGGATCCTCTTTTGTAGCAAAAATTAGGTTAAGTGCACATAATTTAGAAATTGAAAAAGGTAGATATGTTGAAATTAATAAAAATGATAGGTTGTGTAAAGTTTGTCAAAACCTTGATATTGAGGATGAAAAACATTTCATTTTGCTCTGTCCGAAATATGAAGCACAGAGAAAAATATTCAAAACAAAATTATCTACTTTCCCTAATTTCAACCAAACAATTCATAATAATGACAATTTGTTAAAATCATTGATGAAAATCAGGTGTAAAAGGGTTCTTAAAATATTATCTTCATTTTTATGTCAAATATCTGATATTAGAAAAAATGTTTTAGCTATAAATGAGTAACTACATTGTTATGAATTATTTAGTATCGGATGAGTACACTACATTATTTGCTACACCGATTGTTTGTATTCCAGTTGTGTTCTACTGTATTATTATGCTTATTAATATGTTCTGTATGGGCTTTACCAATTACTGTAATAATTATTGTGTTTTTGTCAATAAAATATTTGTATTTGTATTTGTATTTATTTTGCATGGGGGGGGGGGGGCAGAAATAATATGAGGCGCCGTTTTAATATTTTCTTACGGTTCTTGAGATATAAAGTGTGACAGACAGAGAGACTCCGGATAGAGTGATCCTAAGTCGCTCTGTTCTGCAGGCGACACAAAAAATATATGTAGTCGGAAATAAATATTTTGACCGTCTTTGTTCAATATTTAGCGACCCTTGGCTGCTTCCTGTTTGATTTTGTTTCTACACCACATGTTGATGTTAGTGTCGGTTAGCTGTGCTAATATTAGTGACAGACTTCTTCGACATAAAGAAATATCTATGGTGTGATTCACACATTGATGTCCCGCTTTGTCTTGAATGTATCCACAGCAAAATGAATTACAATATCATCAAATTCAAAGAGGCAGAAGAAATAATGGAAACACAAGAATATTCGCAATTTGTCAAGATAAATGAGTGCAAGCGTATCATTTTCCACCCTCGGTTTCTTGGAAATACCAGAAAAGGAATCGAGGAGGCTTTGAAATCAGAAAGAAATTTGGTGTCAGATAAGTAAGTTTCAATCCTTGATGTTAAGTCAATCATTAGGCGGCACGTCGATTTACCCAAATGGACCCAAATGGACACAAATGGAACCCAAATGGAAATCAAAATGGACCCAAATGGAAATCAAATGGACCCAAATGGAAACCGAATGGAATATTAAATATACAAATACAAATATTTATTATTGTATTATCAAGTTGTTACTTATTTAAAATGAAAATAATGAACTTACAAGTGGAGAATATTTAGTATTCATTTCTAAAATTATATTTTAAAAATACGAATTAATTTTCTTTAGTATTCTTTAGATCAGCAAAATTATTGGGGGGGGGGGGGGACACAGGCCCCGTAACCCCCACCCCCCATTCCTCCTGCCATGAATACTATATAAACTTTAAAATGAAATACTTCAATTTTGTATTCAATGATATGCAAAAGTTATTACAAATAGATGTAAAGATTAATTCGTTTTTTAAAATACAATATTAGAAATGAATAATTAATATTCTCCATTTGCAAGTTCATTATTTTCATCATTTTAAATAAGTAACTACTTGAGAATACAATAATATATGTTTAATATTCCATTTGGGTCCATTTGATTTCCATTTGGGTCCATTTAGGTAAATCGACGCACTCATCATTAGGTCACAGGCAATGAATTTCCATCAACAAGCAGGAAATAAAGCCTAAGAATGGAAATTTCTAATCTCCAGATGTCAAAGTTCAACTGACACTCTATAACCATAGGCACTTCCCAGCTTAATTGTTAAAATATATATATATACTATACTATAAACAGTTATGTTTATAGTACAGTAGATATATATTTTTTAACAATTAAGCTGAGGAGTGCCTATGTCTATAACTACTTTATCCATAATTCAAAGTTCAGCAAATTTGTTTATTCAGTATTCACCATAGGTCAAAGTTCATCCAGCATTGCCTATGTACATGTAACAATTCTTCAAAGGCAATGTTCAACTGACATTGCCTGTAACTACTCTATTAATTGGCCAGAGTTCAGGAGGAAAATATTTTAAGAGCATCTCCATATGTCATAGTTTGATAGGCATTACCTGTTGCCTCATTTTTCAAAGGACAAAGCTCAGTTGATAATTGAACTCTCCATTGGCCAAAGTTTAACAAGAAAATTAATATCTAAATACCCTCTTCATAGGTCAAAGTTAAACAACTCTGCCTAGAATTACACTCTCCAAATGTAAAAGAAAAATCAATTTGCTCTGCTTAAAACTTGATTATCCATATCTCAACAACAGTTCAACAGACTCTGTCTAGAATTACACTCTCCAAGTGTATAAAAAAATATATTTAAAAAAAATCAATTTGCTCTGCTTAAAACTAGACTATCCATATCTTACAATAGGTTAAAGTTCAACAGGCATTGCATATAGCTACCCTCTCTATGTCAAAGTCAAGGTTCTCTGTATATATCTCAATTGGTTGACAAAACATTATCATCATTGATTTTAAGCTGAGTTACAAAAAATGTTATTAAAAATACATGTAATTAAGTAAATTAAAATTTGATAATAATGCACTGCAACAACAAAATCATATTAGAACCAAAACCAGAGATCTAACTAAGGAATGTTTTTAGGTTTTGTGTGAGTTATATTGGTGTGTAAATCACACAGACTTATTCACTTAGGCATATTTCATGAAGGCACTAGCCCTTAATGAAAAATATGCCTATGTCTAACTAAAAAACATTCCTTGTATTTACATTTTACATGTTTAAAAGCACCAAAAATATACTCAATGTTTGAATTTCTTGCTGTCCTATATCATTATATTTTTATTAAAGTCTCTGTAGCCTCATTTTGACATCACTTTAACACAAGTTTCTACACATTAGTATACACGAAAATGGCATCCAAATCAATTTCATAGTTGGTTAAGAAGAAAAACACAGTGAATGTAAATGTTGTATCATTATACTTTTGTTTTCTAGGTTTGGTGGTGCTTTGATTGCATATAACAATATTAAAATACAACAAGCTATGGGACTTATTGTTGATCCCTACATCCACTTTGACATTGTTGCTGATTTTATTGTATTCAAGTAGGTACTTTTTATCACTAAAACTCATCATAAATATTTGTGCAGTATGCATTTTTGTAACAATTTTTATCGTATAGATATTCAATAATAGCCTCACTGCTTTCTGACCCACCATTGTTTTTAATCCTTGCTTCCAAATATGCAATATTTTACTACAGTAAAACTCTTTTTGTGCAATCACAGTCATTTCACTGATATATAGGGAAGTTTTGGGGGGTTCTTGTCAGCTTTCTTAACAATTCCTTGTAAAATTAAATGGTTATATGAACTCTGGTATGACAAATATATGGATAAAGTAAGGGGACGTAATCTTAGTTTGTTTGTTGTTTAATGTCCTTCTCGAGAATTTTTCACTCATATGGAGATGCCACCACTTGCCGGTGGAGAGCTGCAAATTTTGACCAATGCTTGGTACTCAGGGCCATTGAGCAGTGAGGGATCTCTTTCGTGCCAACACCTACTGCGACACGGGACCTCGGTTTATACGGTCTCATCCAAAGGTGCCACAGTGGAATTTGAACCCATGACGTAAGGATCAACTCTAGAACAGACGCACTGCCACTGCGCCACGTGGGCGACTTATATAACTTAGTAGTAGTAAAGTTTACGTCAGTGTATATTCTAGGAAATTAAATTTTCTCTAGAGCTCCACATGTTGATGACCTATGAGGGTGTGTGAGGCATTGGCTGAGTTTCATTACAAACAGGATGAAACTTTCTTAAAGGATTGGTCCCTATGATTTTTTTTTTGTGTTTGTTTATGACAATATATTACTTGATAAAACATAGAAAGAATCCTTCTTGCATCATAATTTGTTATGCTTTTATATGTAGGCCAGAAGTAGGGGCTTCATTGAAGGGTGTTGTACACAGAGTATTCAAAAATCATGTCAGCCTTTTGGTGTATGGTATCTTTAATGTATCAATCAAGAAATCCGAGTCAAATGCAGAGCAACTGAGAGAGGGAAATGAAGTGGACTTCAAAGTGGAAAGAATTTATGTCAACAACAGAATTCTATCCATGCATGGAGTTTTATGGAGGTACCAATACTTACTTTTTTGTTTCATTGTTTATATAGCTACAGATATTGAAAAGAAAATTGCTTGAATTTTCACAAGTATCAAAGATTCCAAGACACCCCCCCCCCCACCCCACCCCCACCCCTTGCATACACACACACAAAAGAATCATTTATGAAAGCTTGAATTAAAAAAAAGTTTATTTTCATCCATGATCAAATGAATATCTGTATATGAAAAAGTGACTTCAAATTTGTTCATTGTCAAGGTGAAAATGTCATAGGTAGAAATCAGAGGTCAGACAAGAATATTATTATTAATACCAGTAGTTTCTACATTTTTATTGAAAAACATGCATAAAACAAACATATTCATTAATAAAGATTTCATCAATATTCATTTTCAACAGATCTGCTGAACTACCCTTGTGTGACACCATTTCAAAGAATAGATGAAACCTGCTGAATGGCCACACTTTGGTGTCACATGTAACCCATTATTTCTAATCCCAATCCTACCTCATTGTTTTTTCTGTAAAACATCTGTAAAAGGTGTTTTCTTCACTCACTCATTCTTGTTTTGATATTTAGGTCTCTCAACATAGCCAAAGTGCATTTCTAATTAATTAGATTTATGTTTTCCTAGTGAGCTCTGAGGATTTAGATTTGGCAATTCTCAGAAACAGTATAACTTTAGTAAAGAAGAAATACTCGTTGTAGGCCAGGTATCTTTTTCTGTCAGTAAAAAGTATGCAAATTATGGACTATATCAAATCAATTTGTATCCATGGTAACTTTTTTTTATGCCCAAAGTTTTATGAAGAGTGCATTTGCAACTTGAGTCTGTCTATCTGTCCCTGTCAAAGAATTCATCATAGCTTTTAAAATTAACTAAATATCTTTACAAAGACAGATTTTATTTATGTTTACAAAGAGACAGAGATTAAGTGCATTTATTTTTTTTGTGGTGGATCAAATGGATGTAGGGAAAATATGGCAATATAAAACATTGGCCAATGTCAGGGCAACAGGAACATTGTGTTTCACACTTTGTTTATTTTTCAGCGAAGAAGTTACAAAAAAGACAAAAATGACCAAGAAAAAATCTCAGAGGAAAACATTCCCAGATGAAGATGAATCAGTGCCTGCAGAGGAGAGCCTGGACAGGAAAGATAAGGCAGCAGATAGACTCGGAGAATTGGATGGAGAGGATGTGGAAATGATTGCGGAGGATTCACTTCCTGTAACACACAAGGTACTGGATTATACTAAATGTTTAGAAGTTATTATTTTTAGCTCACCTGAGCCAAAGGCTAAAGTGAGCTTTTTAAGCCAATTTAAACCAAACTCTTCATAAAGCATCAAAAAAAAGAGCAGACAAACAATAAGTCATACTGATATGCTAGTGTCTTTCTGTAGTGTAGATTCAAAGTTGTTCAAGTCATCGAATCAGGCTAGGAGAGGGTTGCAATGGACATAGGCACCTGACATATGGATGGAGTACCCCCACCCCCAATGCCCCAACCACCACCACCACAGTCTGAGATTTTTTTTTTTAATCTTGATAAATTAAGTATCAAGAAACAAGATATAAAAGAGTGAATTGTCATCCTTTTTCATGTAATTCTGGTAAAATTATGTTTGGACAAATACAGTCAAACCTCTTTGTCTCAAACTCAATGAGACTGAGAAATTTTTTTTGAGATATCCGAGGGTTCGAGATATTGAGGGTAAAATACTTAAAGAAAAAGTGCTTGGGACTTCCTAACCACTTCGACATATCCATGGTATTCGAGATATCAGTGTTTGAAATACCAAAGTCCAGCTGTATATTTTTCCAGAGTTTTGATATATGTATATCAATTACAGCAAAATTGAACTGAGTGATATAATTTTTATTGCAACTTGTTTAGGATTATGGTGTTTTTGAGATGGATTGATTGGACTATCCATTTTCATTGATCAAGATAACATGCAATGTACATGTATAAATCAAAAGCATATGTCAGCAGAATAAGGAAAGTAATACCTGGGAAATTGCATATATTACAGGTTACATTGACTAATTATTGCTTAAAAAATATGTAGTTGATATTTCACTACATAAACTGCAAACACTTTATAATCTACCCTCCTAATGTGAATCTGCAATTTTTATTCAGAAATCGGAGAAGAAGAAAAAGAAGAAATCGAAGGAAAAAGTTTGACAGAAAAGTTCGTCAGATGATTCACGCGTGTCAATAGAGACTGCAAAATTACCAACCAAGGTCTGCCAACTGTTTCAAGTGTAGTCAAGAGTACAAGCAATAAAGGACAAAACAGTGTCACTGAGATGATTTCTGTGAATATTTGACAAAGCACTGTTTTCATCCTATGAAGTATTCTTGTACAAAAAAAAAATACCCACATACATGTTTTTTAATTTGTAAACAATATGTGGCCTAGGAAGAAGGTATATTATAATTTTTAATTTTTTTTTTATAAATACATTCTAATGATATAGATTATTTATTTATCACCGTATTGATTCTGGTTAGAGATATTTCTATAACAAATTGTCTTCTTAGAACATGTTTCTTCTACAATCTGACTGTGAGAGGTCATGTTTTAGGAGAAGTTCAATATAAGTATGTTTCAGGTGCCATCAGGTATTTCACTGAACCATTAAGTAAATCAGGAAGTAAAACATGAGTATGAAATCCTAATTGAAACTCTTGCATGATCCCAAATAGAAAATATATGTATATACAGTCAAACCTCATTATATTGAACTCAATGGGAACCAAGACTTCGAGATATCAGATTTTAAGATATTGTGGTTAAATACATAAAGAAAAAGTGTTAGGGATTTTTAATTTACTTCATCATATCCCTGCCCTAGTATTTGAGATGTCGAAGTTCAAGATGTGAAGTTCAACTGTACATTTCTGTTTAGATGACCATTATGTGCATGACTCATATGAAATAAAGCTCAATAAATGATTCACCTATTTGTCTTTCTGTGTTTAGGTAGAGTACAAGAATTAAGTTGCTAAAAGTACATCAATACAAAAGCATAAGAATTCTGTTGGGCTTAGAAGACTCCATGTACTTGTAAACTGTGTAAAGATCAGGAGTAGTTGACTCTAAAAGTGACCTTTGAACTTTCTGGAATGACCTCTGCCCAAGACATGACACACCTTAAAGCCAAAAGTACATGTAATACTTTTATGAAGAATGAACTTCCAGTGTTTTTAAATTGGATAGACATGAGCCAGACATGAATTTCACACTTTTCTTGGCAGTGACTTTGAACTTGCCAAACTGACCTTGGATCAATTTCAAATCACATCCTGACATCATAAGCAATCTTTGTGTCAAATATGATCTCCAATGCTTCTCCATAACAAGATGTGGTCAGGAAATGAATTATACATTTTTAGCTCTTCTGAGCCAAAGGCTCAAAGAGCTAATGCAATGGCCATTTGTGTGGTGTGCGTAAATTTTTAGAATATGGGCCATAACTCAAGAACCCCTTTGCCAATTATTGTCAAATTTGTCAAAGGGTATCCTAGGCCCAAGGGCTCCCATTTATACTAAAACTAGGGTTGTGACCCTTAAAAAAGGGGAGATAATTAGGAAAATAGAAACAAAAGTACTGGTTGCTAAAAAAATCTGCTTCTCAATAACCACTGGGCAGATTATCACCAAACTTACCCAAAAGGATGAGGATATGTTGTAGATTAAAAATTATTCAAGGCATTACCCTGGGGCAAAGAGTGTGGTCTCAAGGTCACTTCAAAGTTGACCAAATATTACATTTTATTAAAATGTCGATATTGTGCTTACTATAAGGACTAGGATCATCAAATCTTGTCAGTTGATCCATCTAAGGACCTCATATCATGTTGACTCAAAAGTAGGTCACAGTGACCTACTTTTTAAATTTTACATCCATTCTTTTTCAAAATGATTTAGAAGCATATTTTGAACAATTTAAGGCCTATGATCATCAAACTTTGTCAGTTGATGCATCTTGGGTCCTCAGAGTACGTCAATTAAAAAGTAGGTCACCTTAACCTACTTTTTGAATTTTTTGTCTAATCTTTTTCAAAACAATTAAGGTCATTAATTTGAATACTGAGAGGTTTAGAATCATTAAATCTTGTAAGATGATGCATCTTGGGGCCATAAAACATTTTTCTTAAAAAGTAGGTCACAGTGACCTACTTTTTTAACTCTGCAGGCATTCGATTTCAAAGCATTTTAGAGGCATAATTTGAACATTTTAAGACCTATGATTATAAAACTTTGTAAGTTGATGCACCTTGGGTCCTCGAAAAATGTCAACTGAAAAGTAGGTCACCATGACCTACTTTTGAAATTTTATGGCTATATCTAAATATTTAGAGTATCATTTTGCTTAGAATCATCAAAATTTGTCAGTTGATGTATCTTGGGTCCTCAGAGCAGGTCAACTGAAAAGTAGGTCACTGTGACCTACTTTTCAATTTATAGGACTATAATTAAATATTTCAGGTACTAATTGGCTTAGAATCATCAAACTATGTCAGTTGATGCATCTTGGGTCTTCGGAGTATGACAACTGAAAAGTAGGTCATTGTGACCTACTTTTGAAATTTTATGGCTGTATTTAATATTTTCAGGTACTATTTGGCTTAGAATCATCAACCTTTGTCAGTTGATGTATCTTGGGTCCTCGGAGTACGTCTTCTGAAAAGTAGGTCACCGTGACCTACTTTTCAATTTATATGGCTATAATGAAATATTTCGAGTACTAATTTGCTTAGAATCATCAAACTTTGTCAGTTGATGCATCTTCGGTCCCCGGAGTAAGTTGACTGAAATGTAGGTCACTGTGACCTACTTTTGAAATTTTTTGTCTTTATTTAAATATATCAGGTACTTACTGGCTTAGAATCATCAAACTTTGTCAGTTGATGCATCTTGGGTCCTCAAAGTATGTCATCTGAAAAGTAGGTCACTGTGACCTACTTTTGAAATTTATGGTTATAATTTTAAAAATATTTTAGGTATTAATTGGCTTAGAATCATCAAACTTAGTTGATGCATCTTGGGTCTTAAAAGAATGACAAGTGATAAGTAGGGTCACCATGACCTACTCTCAAGTACTAATTGGCTTAGAATCATCTAGGGTTCTCAGAGTGTTTCATCTAAATTGTAGGTCATGATGACCTACCTTTGGAATTTCAAGGCTTTATCTAAATACATGTATACAGGATACTTAGAGGCTTCAAATAGAAGTGATAGGTTGTACAGTTTATCAGAAGAGCGATTCAAGGCCCTTGGGCCTCTTGTTCTAAAAGTGACCTTGTACTTGATCAAATGACCTTGGGTCAAGATTTTGACAAACCCTCAGGTCATAAGCAATCTTTGTATGAAGTAGAAACAACCAATGTTTCTCCATTAGAAAGTTATAAACCAGACATGAATTTTACACTTTTTCTGCCAGTGAATTGAACTTGCTGGAATGACCTTAAGTCAAAAGTCATGTCATACCCTCAGGTCATAGAAATCTTTGTGTCAGAATGAACTTTCAGTGTTTCTCCATTACAAAGTTATGGCCTAGACATGACGGATGGACAGACAGATGGGTGGATAAGGTGATTCCTATATACTGTGGAATCATTTTAATTCATTGGGGGTCAATGTTAGTGGGTGAGCAAAATTTTATTGGTTCGTGGAGACCTAATTTCAAAGGTAACTCGTTTATAAGGTAGTTTCAATGAATCACTATATGAACAAAATAATTGTTTGTGGGCATGTAAATTTGTGGGTAAGAGTGACTTGCAAAATCTATGAACACTGCCCTCCTCCCCAAGAACAATGAGGATTCCACAGTACTACCCCCCAACTTCATTTGTGAGGGGGGTATAATGAAGTTTAATCACAGATGTAAGTTATTTTCTTAGAAGGTGACATGATGTCAAGGGTATTGCAAAGTGGAGCATCCTCTTGCAACACCATTTAATTTTAAGAACTCGGCTTCTCACAAAATGAATGTAGATTCAAAACATGATTTTACACTTTGAACCCCTAGCATTACTAGTAATTCCTGGTGGCTTTAACTTGAAAAATCTCAAATGATTGCTAAGTAATTTTGAAGTAAGTACTCCAATGATGAACAAAATGTACGAGGGGTTATCAAAAAGTTCGTGGACTGCTGCGATAAAATTAATTCTATGTAGTCGTTGATTACAAAATTTACAAGGAACATAAAACAACAAAAGTTTAAGAAGTTTTGAAAATTTCAGCTTGATACGATGATAATTTGTCAAAATATCATTGAATAAAAGGGACATTATATGATCACCCGGCGCTGTCGCCATTTAATTTTATGACGTCCGACAACGTCATTGTTTCTCAATGTCCGCTCCCTCTACCTCAATACACTTATCTTGATGAGATTCTCTGGAGTTAAGTAAAGTCCTAAGCCCGTCCTGTTTATATGACTTTACAATGTTATGAACTGCTGATTTCAATGCATTAATATTGTACATAAATCTAAACATAGGGATCTAGATCTTCGCTTGATTATGCCAGCATAATTTTCTTGTCGGAGTTCAATATCAACCTTACATGATCAAGGTCACTTTTCGACGAGACTGATTTTGCACACCCTGACTACAAATTACATTAACTGTGTGTCTCTTCTCTCGCTGAATCCGTTTTGATATTTAAAAACAAGTACTCTGGATGCATTTTATTTCTCTGTAACCTGTTTAAACATTTTTCGGGTTTATGCCAGGTTTTGCAGGGGCTGAAACTTTATAGAATGTTGCAAAATGACACCCTCCCCCCTTTTGACGTCATTTTTAACCCCTTTATTGTTTGGACATTCCATATAAAATTTAGGATAAAATTTCATAGAATATACAGAATGAGGCAAAAATTGCAACTTTCACGGAAAAATTGTGTCACAACACATGAGCGAATTAATGGGATTTTCGGATGACAAATGCTCATATCAGAAGAGGTTTTCTCAGTTACACTCAGGTAGAAAATACGTCATATTCGAGGTTGCGCCGCCTGGACATACCTTTGCTTAGAAAAACATTTACAATTCATTAAAAAAATTAAAATTATGATTTATTGTTTATTTTACAGATAGAAAAGAAGATGCTTATTTAATGTTTAAAAATTCATTGATATATCTCAAACGGTTTTAATTTTATGACGCTAGTCCACGAACTTTTTGATAACCCCTCGTAGAGAAAGGTTCTGAAAAACTACATTACTATTTCATTTACTACAACTCGTAATGCTTTAAATATACTTTTTAATTTCTAAGTATCAAAGTACAAAACTCTCAATATGTCCTAAGTTTACAAGATTAATAAAATCTCACATCTGCCAATCACAACTCATAAAGTTAACCATGTATACTAATAAAAATAAAAGTGTATAGATTCAGTATGCTGAATC